GCAGGGATCAGGAGGGAGATGAGCTGAGCCAGACCCAGAATCAGGATCAAGGCCAGGGCCGGGGCCAGGGAGGGGGACGGAGCACACTGCGCCCATATGGCTGCCCCTACCTCCGTGCCCAGGGTCATTGCCCAGCACCGGTGCCCCTACATCAATGAATCTGCCGCCCCCCAGTCCCACACCGGCCCCAACCCCACACCAGCCGCAACTCCACACCACCCAGGGGAGGCCCAAAGTGTGGGGCTGGAAGGGGCCAGCCTCGGCTGCACCACCAGGCCAGAGAGGACAGAGCCCCTGGGACCCTGCTCCCACCCCGAGTTATCATTGTTCAGGCTGCTCATCCAGGGCGCATGGCTCCTGCTGCTACACTCACCCTGGGAGGCATGGGGGGGTATGTGCCCCCTGATCTGTGCAGAGCAGGGCAGGCTATTGCGGGCTGGGACCAGGGCTGTGCTGGGCTGTTCTCAGAGGGGGTGGGGCAGGCTGCACTTGCAGCGAATGGTGGTGGCACTGAGAGGGGGGTGAGGTGGGCTACGGCACACTTTGAGGTGGCTGCAGCCACTCTGCCCTACAGAAGCCTGCCCTGCCCCACACAGATCCAGGGGCACATGCCCCCATGCTTCCTGGGATGTGCGTAGCAGCAGGACCTGTGTCCCCAGACTAGCCTATTGCACCTCAGTCCCACACCTTGCCATCTGTGCAGCATCTGCCCCACCCTTAGCCCCAGCCCCACTCCCTCCCCACACCTTCTACAGCTTCCAGAAGCCCATAGCTGGGCTACCTTGCAGTCCTACCACTGCTCTGCATTGGGGGGGGGGGCTAAGAGATGTTAGTGCTACCCCACTTACGCCGCCTATGAGCATGTGTAAGATGTTGGTGTGCTGCAATTATTCTCTCTTGTTCAGACCCATATTGGCTCATTGTTTTCTTCTAAATCCTCATTAACAATCTGTTGCCTTTGACTTATGCTTAGATTGTAAGATCTTTCGGCCAAGAACCATATTTTTGTTCCACATCTGTACAGTGCCCTGCACAATGGAATCCTGGTCTGCAACTGTGACAATATAAATAGTAATTGTAATAAGTATTACTAGTATAGTTCCTGGGCTAGCAAAATAATGTATTCCATTCCATCCCACTTCACAGATTGAAGAGATCATTGCAAGAATGCAGGATGACAAAACAGGAGGAGTTCCCATCCGAACAGTCAAGAGCTTTCTGTCTAAAATCCCCAGTGTTGTCACAGGTAAGGTAAAATTAAACAATCTGTGCCTATTTTCTGGATGTGTTCTTCAGCCAAAAATGAAGAATGGGCACAAATCAGTTAGTTTCTATAAGCTAGAGAGTGACTTTTCTTAATCACCAATGAGATTTCCTTAGAGTGATCTATGAAAATCTGTTTAGTGTTTATGTAGGCTCTAGTCAGCATCACAGTATTGCCATTAAACATCATATATGGTAACCTCACACAGGAACAGGCTCTGGCTTGACACTTTAAAAATAAAGTTAGTAAAGATAGCAAATGATCAGAGATAACAGAAAAGGGCAATTAAAAAAAGATGTGGATTGGAAGAAAGTTGGCAAGAGTTCTCAGGAAGAAAATGTAACAATTTTTTCCCTTCTCCTCCCCAGTATTGTATTGCTGGTTCCCTGGATTTCTACAGCATATGCAGAAATGCAAGGAGACAGTATAATCTCCTTTACAAGGCCATTCTACTACAAAGAAGCTATATGTGTAAAAGTGTGAGACTATGTGGCTCAAGAGTTTGGTTTGGGGATGTGGGGCATTAATGTCTATACATCCAGAGCTCTAAAGAACAATATCATTATTATATGATTAGGTATCTACTTAAAGCGTGTGGAGGCAAAGTAAAAATCACAGGCTGCTCGCAGCACCCAGTGCCATTTTCACAGTCATTTTATGGTGAGCTTCCCCGCCTTCTGTCACTGATTGGCTGAGGGGCCCCAGTGGCCCTGCCTCTTGCTGCTGTTTGGTGGAGAGAGCTGCCTTTCATGCAGACTCGCCCTTCACTGCTGATTGGCAGAGAGGGTTGGGGCCACACAAAAGGCAGCTCTCTCTGCCAATCTTGCTGGCAGCTTCACCCCTGGCAGACTGTGAGGCTGGGCGACAGGAGCCACTGGCTGTCACTGGGGAGCCAGCATTTTATTTTTAGTAAGTTTTTTTTTCCTGGTGATTCTGTGCAAAATCACAGAGAACGCCAATTTTCACAGTGATCACAGAAACTGCCTTTTTCACAGTTTACACAAAAATCACAAAAGTACAAATTAAGTAGATCCCTACATGTGATAGATGCTTATGGTGGCTGACATAGAATGAGTTTGGGGTTACCATCTAGTTGCCAGTGGACAACTGCTTCACAAAATCTCACCAATCTACTAGTTCCAATTTGCTATTTTGTATGGCTGTGCAAAATTTTGACTGGTGTTTCATTTCAAAGCTGTTTCAACGTGTTTCCAACTCAAAACAGCAAAATCAAAATTAAAAGAAAGGCTTCAAAACAGCTTCAAAACAAAACGAGGGTATGCAGAATGTTTTGAAAGTTTGAAAAGTTTTGAGTTTCAAAGCTAGGCTTGCTTGCAGCTAAACAGAAACTAAGAAGAGGGAGGGAGAAGTGGGGGGAAGGACTGCTCTGATATTGACATCTAGCTCCTGGTTTGATTCCCCAGCTCTCTGATCATTTCCCCAGTTCTTTGCAGGGAGACCAGCCCCTGATCTGCATGTGGGGTTTCAGCAGGCTCCCTGGGGGAACGGGCCCCTGGGTCTGTGTGCAGGATGACAACATGCTGCTGCAGCTGGCAAATGATACTAGTTTTGTTTTAAACAGTTTGAGGTGCAGTTTCACAAAAACTCCCACACCTATCTCCTTGAAACTGGGCAGGATATATGACCTCAGAATTGCATCCCTGCAATTTTCATCCAAATCAGGCAAGAAATGACAAAGTTCTAGGCTTTTTTGTGATTCCCCATTTTAGCCTATGGGCAAAACATTGAAACATGTAGAAATAGCGTTGAAACAGTTTTGACGAAACAAAACAGAACAGTGCTTCAAAAGAATGAAATGAAACAGTGTCCCTTTGAAAGGGTGAAATGGAAGTCGAAACAAAGTGGTGCTGTTTTGCACAGCCCTGCTTAGAGAATGAGAATTTATTCTAAGCCCTAGGAGGTCTCTTTCCAGGTTTTGCAAGATGCACATTGGCAGGACTGTCTGGGGAAGCTTTTTTTCCTATTGTTCCTGTTGTGTTGGTAAATGACAAGTTTCGCTTTCCATGGTTGTTAGTATGGCAATATTAATGGGCAGTAAACTCAAAAATATTATTCAACATGCAAAAATCCAGTATCTTCTTGTAAATAGGCAGCAAGTCAATAACTGTGTGTTGAGGTTTGGGAAAGAGGGTTTAGCCGTTCAAAATAAAGCTCTTCTTTATGGATTTGTTCTAAATCATGAAGGATATATCTCTAGTCAGCAAGGGCACTAGAAAATGCAGGCGGTATTGTCAAACATTTGGTTATTATCACATGCCACAGCTCATCTGAACACAAAGATATTGTGCTTCTAAAATGTCTTTAATTTGAACAAGGTTTGATTTGCCATAGATGCAGGTGGAGTCAGAGGGATGAAAAAATGCACAATATGATATCTCTTTGTGTCAGAAACAATAGCTTTTGCCAGATTTAAGTTTACAGGAATGCAATACTCCAAACATTAAGTGAGAAAGACAAAATCTGGAAACTGAGCTTCATCTGCTTAAAGCTCAGTCTTACAAATGTCTTTTACCAAGTAATAAGCCCTTCTGTCAGAGACGATGAGTAGGGGGTGCATGCAGGTGCATGTGCACCCCCTACAAAAAGGTGCCGCCGACACAATCAGCAGCACCTGTGGGTGGTCACTGCTTGCCAACCCACCGGTGGCATCTGCAGGTGATCCGCAATTGCTGCTGGCCACCACCAACGCTGCCGGTGGTGCCTGCGAGTGGTCGCCATCCCCCATGCCGCCAACAGCGCCAGCGGCGTCTGTGGGAACTCTGCACTCACCGCTGCCATGCTCCCACCGCCGCCATGCTCCCACCGCCACCAGTGCAGCCGTGACCCCCCAGCCGCCAGGGACACTCATTGTTCATGCCTTCTGTTATGAGTAATCTAATTGATTTCAAGCATGACTCAATGTAGTTTGCAGGATCAGGGCCATGCTGTGGAAGTACAAGATGAATCCAGACTGAGATGTGAAAAGACAACTACTAAATTGAGGTGTATGACTGGATCATGTGCTGACTAAGTCTGTTTTTGAAGGTTCCAGGGGAAAATAACCATTTCATCCAGTTTGAAAAGTCATCCCATAAGCTCTAGTTCAAGAGGAAAGCAGAGTGTCTTAATACTTACTCATCTAAGAAAGATTGCTGATATTCTTGTTAATATTCATAGCCTTCATTAAGCAATTGATCTAGTCATCAAGACATCAATGTGACTTAGGAAGAGGAAGAAAACAGGATACATCATAGCATCTTTAAGCTGATTATCTTTATTTTTAAGTACCACCATGGGAGATAGTTCCCTTGCAGAATGAAAACTGTCCTCTTGCATTCTGCTATTCTGGAATAGCAGCTACATTCATGTCACCTTGAAATTGAATCTTTCCACAGCCAGGAAGTACAATCCCAAACTTTGAAAGGAAAGAGAGAAAGAAGGAAATGATTCAGACAAAATAGGAACAGAACCTTCATCAGCACTCTCAGAAATCTTTTTCAAAGGAGAAAAGGGAAAATGTGTTGTGTTGTTCAGTAACATCCTTTCCGCTGATCTAAAGCCTCAGCCAGTCTCCCATGTCTGGGACAGGAAGCCTTTGCATTTGGAAAGCACAGAAAAACAATAACAGGGAGTCTGACCTTTTTTCCATTTCTCTTTCTCCTTCCCCTTCTCTTTTCACAAATGATGAATCTCTATGTCAAAAATAAAGGTAAAATTCTTATTGCACTTGCATTACATTTTAACCCTTGTTTTGTTTAATGTGATTAACATAAACACGCATTTTCAAAAGATTTCAGAATAAATGTGGACCTATCTGGATCTGGCTCTTGTGTGGGAAGATCTTAATTTTTAGAATCCAGTGACATTTTCTCTTTTTACAGTCAACACAGTTCCACCTTAAAGTATAGCAATAAGGGCAAAGCGTGACTTACTGTCAAGCTAACAGTAGTAAGGCTTACACATGGGGTTACCTTTGCTCAACATTTCTGCTGTAATTGCTTCTCATGGGGAAAAGGCAAAATCATTTTAAAAAGATATAACTGCACTTTAAACATTCGGCTCTGTTTATGGTACAGCAAAGTAAGTGTTTGATTTTGAGATTAGGTATTGGGAAAAGAGCCACTCAGCTTCTATTTTGCTTTCATCTGGCCAGATAACTGAGTTGCGTAGTTTGGAGAGAGTGAGCCTACGGGAATCATCATTAATGATCATCTGTAGACATCAGGAGTTTGCAGAATGGATGAAAAAGCCCTTTAAAAGTATTACAGGTTCACAGGGTGGTGAAATGCCAGCCGCATTAGTACCCTGTATTAGCGGGAACATTGTGAACCTTTCACTCCTTCACTCTGGGCTTGAAGTAGGTTGACATGGATTAGTATACTGCATTGGTATCTCTCTCCTTGTCCTCTATCAGCTACGTGTATACATTTTAGAGACTAAGTAGCCCAAAATCAGGAGAAGTAGAAAAACAAATCACTAGGGAAAGTGACAAACAGAGAGTTAAGGGTCAGTGGATGTGGTGAGTGAGGTTTGAATAGAATATTCTCATGTTTTTCCCATGTCTCCACTGGACAAGGTAGAGAATATTGTCATGTGTACAAGTGCCCTGAGGCACTGACAGATTTGCTTCTAACTCCTTAAATACCTCTTGCTGATAAGTCTCTAGAACACTATTTACTGTCACAGAAAAACCCACATATTCCCATTTTGGAGAAAGAGGGCATGAGTAGTGTTCTCGTACTGTAATGCACTTAAACTGCAGCTCAGTGCTTCATGTTACTCCAGGCATCAGTGTCATTAATACACCTCACTTAATTAAACATCTGCAAAACTGTCATTCAAACCCTGAACCTGGTTTCTACACTTCTACCAGTGTGTCTTAAAACTAAGCTGTCATACCAGTATAAGGACCCCTCAATGTCAGGGGTACATCCCTCTCCTTAGCTGTTTCAGTCACGGGTCCCATATAACGTTGCCAAAAGCCTCTGTGCTGATCTATTCCACCTGTGCCTTCTAGTACAGATATGCCATTTCACTCCCAGCTTAGCTAAGCCTCATTTGAAATCTTTTCCATTCTGACCCTCAGCTCATCCTTATCGCTCCTAATGTGCCATAGAGGTGACTTTCAGCTGAACACCTCCTATCTATTCCATCTTCTTCTCAAACATTTCTGAGATACCTTTACCCTAGCCCGTAACTCCCCAACTTTTAGTACACCTCTATAAGCAGTTCCATCATTGGACCTGATTTCTGAATGACACCTTTTACTCTGGTTGTGATCTCCACATCAGTCACACTTTGATCCTGACCCTTAGGCCAACACTTTCCCCATCTTCCACTGCTCTGCTCCCTAAGACTGGAAATAAACTTCTAATCTGCCATATCCTGATGTACCATTCTTGGACCCCTTCTACATGTTATAGGAATTGCTCAATTAACTGGTTAATTGTGCAGTTACCTGGAGACCAGCAACACATACAAAGTAGCTATCACACAATAAAAAGCTCCAACCAGCTATACCTCAGCGGGCACAATCAGTTAGATCTCAAAGGGCACATCTACATGTGTCCCTACAGCCGTTTTGTTACTATGCCTTCATTTAGGACTTCCAAAAGGAAGTCCTAAATGATGGTACAGTAACAGCCTATAGTGTGTTGTACACGCTGCATGCAGTTAATTTTAATTGCTGTGTCACCATAGCAATGAGATAGAATGAGGGAGCACGTTGCTACAGCAGTGTAGCTGCAGTGTCACAATTTGTGACTGCTGATGCTAGCATCGCCGTAGCATATTGCTACAGTGATATAGCATCACATATAGACATGCCCAAAAGCTAACTATACATGGTTGCTATACAGCTTTATTTTGTACATGTAGCAGGGGCTCTCCTGTAGTTGGGAGCTCCGTCAGCTGAATTGAGAGTGCGGAAAACCCCCAGAGCCATATAGGTGCATCATACCCAGTGTAAAAACTCCGACCCTAGAAACTATGAAAGCCCTAGGTATTGAGGGAGATGTGAACCCCAGAGTCCAGGGGTTTCCTGCACTCCCAAGCCATGGGGATAATGAGAGCTGTGATTCCTATGGTCTGGTGGTTTCTTGCACCCCTGAGCCACAATTCTCTGGCCCCAGGTGTTTCCTGCACTCCTGAACCGTTGTGATTGTACTATGATCCCTAGGGCTTGGGGGTGTGGGAAATCCCCCTGGGGACAGCGGATCATGGTGATCTTCCAGCTCCAAGGGTTTCCTGTACCCCCAGGGTGCGGGAATTACTGTAGCAGTGATCCTCCACCCCCAGGAGTTTTCCACACCCCCAGGGCCCCAGGGTGGGGTGGTCACCACAGCAGTGATTCTTTAGCCCCAGGAAACCCCTGTGGCTGGGAGCCCCTCAACTGGGAAGCCTTAGTTCCAGCTACAGGAGCTTGCCAGCACAGGGAGGAGCCCAGGAGAGCTTAAGCACCAAGCTAGTGCAGGCAGATGCTGTGCAAGCTTCGTCCACACTGTTCTGCCAATGCACTTCATTTTTGACCTGCAGTATTGCTTTTATTCCAGTGCTGGGTTGTCTAAGCGGAAGCTGCCAATATTGCTGAAATATGCCAGATGGTACATGGTTTTCTTGATGTGAACAAATATTCACTTGAGACCAGTGATCTAAACTAAGTTTAAACTGCTGTGTATTTCTATCTAAACAAGCCAGCATATATCTTTTGACAAATGTGTGTGCAGTTGTTCCAATACACAGCAAAATATCAGTCGGTCAAAGAGGAGGTATTCTGCTAGAGAATGCAAAACCCATGCTGTTGCAAAAGAGATTGCTTATTCTTGACAGCCCTCTGTCAATACAGTTATACATCAGAATGGGGAAGGGGGACCCATGCACCACTTGCCTCACAGGCTGGACAGAAAAAGTCTTGATTTCTGCTGATAACACCTTTGTAGGGTTGAGCACTTGAGAATACTAAAAGGTTGAGTTCAGAGCACATTTCCTAGAGCAAAGTGCATGGTACAGATTCTTGTGTCTTGTAAATGTATCAGTAAAACACTGCATTCACCAGGGAAAAAACAGATTCCTTCACAGTCATGAAGGAAGTGTGCAAGAGGCAAGACACCATGCTGGGGATGTACAGCCTTGCCACAATACTGTGAAGTACAGGCAAGGCACAGTCTTGATGTCAGAGACCTGTTGCTGTGTCCCGTCTCTTCCTGTGGAAGGCAGGAGTTGCCTAAGGGCCTCACAGAAGCTGCTTTAGCTATTAGAGTGACATAGCTCCATAGACTGGTAGTAAAAAGGATCCTGCCCCCCAGGGACCCACTGTCCATTTGCCTGGCTAGAGAACATTAGCCTGAGATCTTTGCCTGTACTTTCTTGTTAAGTTTTATTCTGGATCTGTAAATTACATTGTGCTGATCTCTGTTAGTTGGAGCCACTACCTCATATCTAAATCATCTACACACTTGCTAAAGTGTGGAGCTAAATGTGCACTTTTAGCTGAAGCCATCTCTTTGTTTCATCAACCTTGCTTCCTGGAAAATGCCCCCACTTAAGAGCTTGACATCTAGCGCATAACTAGCTATATTTTCAGCACATCCAGTGGATATAACTGCTTGGAGAGTGTACTTGGACATTTGCTT